ATATATATATATATATATAGTCCAAACTGGGGCTGTGCAATTAATCGCATGCGATTGTCATGCGCATCTTGTCAGTAAAGCCGGTTCCGTGATTAGTAGTAAATCTCCATCACCTGCTTTCAGATGGAGCGGCATTTACTACACAGAGCCGTAGTTCACTGACAAGCTAGGCGATATCGCGTTCACAATCGAATGCGATTCATCTGCGATTATGAACGCGATATTGCCTAGCTTGTCAGTGAAGATCGCATGCGATTAATTGCACAGCCCTAGTCCAAACATTAAAAAAAATGTTTATAAACATGTATAAAAATATTTTTTTATTTCATATGTCAGGATTTACAGGGTTAATATTATTAACATTTATTACGCTGCATTTAAGCTGTACATTTTATCAGTGTGTCACCTGGGAATTGAACCCATGACCTTAGTGTTGCTGGCACCATGCGCTATGGTAAATGTTTTTAAACTTAATGAATTTTCAAAATGATTAGCAAATACAGGGATGTACAGGGCAAAAGTGAGCAAATGTATTAAGAAGGTCATTTGTCCTGCTACCAACCCTGAAAAATGCCTCTTACTCTCTTTAAACGGTGTTTTCTTTCTAAATAGCTCATCAGCATCACAATTGGTTTTAAAGGCACTCTCGCTCTTCAATCCCCACCTTTCCCCTCCCTCGCCGCTTGATATTTTCTGCCAGAATTCCCTGTCCTCCCTCTCTCGCTCCCAGCCTCCCTCCCCAGCTCCGTGAAACTAATAAAGACAGGATTAATTAGATTGTTGTTTAAACAGTGCGATGCCCAGACAGACGCTGTAAACTCATAACCAGGGATTGAGGATAGCATGGGGTTAATCTCTCTCACACTCGAATAAACACACCATACTCACACACACACACACACATTTACCAGCACCTTTATACAGCCGTGCTCATGTACTCTCATAAATATTGACAGGTACCCACAGCTCATATGGTGTCGATGACAATCTAATCCTTCTGCACATTTCATTAAGCCAAAGCAACTGTCACCATTCACCCAAAATGTGACATAAACCAGTGTGAAGTTACTGTCACACACCTGAACCGGACAACAACATGTTTTTTGTAGATTGGCGGGATTGTTGCTAGGGTGTTTTGGGTAGTTGCTGCTTACTGTCCCAAGTCAAAAGTCCCAAGTTTATGATATTGTGGTCTCAGGACCCTACTTTAGTGCAATTTTTTTGTCAACCATGTAAAAATCGTCAAAAGCCGCCCGATTTTACATATCATTCTATCACGGTGCTGGACAAGCTATCGTTTAAAGTAATAGTTCAACCAAAATGACAATTCTGACAAGAGCTATTCCTTACTTGTGCTTAAGGGTTTGTTTATCCCTAAGCATTAAGAATAGGGATACCTGCATTAGCAGTGACCACTAATTAAATTAAAAGCACATATATAGGTGGCAAATAAAAGTATAAGTTTGATGAACACAAACCATTTTGGAGGTGAGGAACTGATGAAATGCACATTTGATGGATAACACAGACTTCATGACAGTTGCAGAGACGGATGGCGGGAGATCTGGTGTGTGTGCGTGTGTGTGTGTGTGTGTGTTGAGGAGCACCGAGTGCAGGAGATGAAGGTGTCATATCAGAAATCTGCTGAAGGGAGAGGCAGCCAGGTCCACACATTATAGCCTCTAATCTGCATGGATGTGATAATCCTGTCCGAAACGCAGCTGCTATGGCTAATCTGTCTCAATCCATCTGCCAAAAATGCCAAATTACCCAAATCACCACCTACTACACCCAGATCAAAGAAGACCAACTCTAAAAACCCATAGAGAAACTGACTCAAAGACTGAATCTCATGAAAGCTGTCATATTTCACCTCAAAACTGAAAGAAATGAGTAAAAATTATATTTTTCTTAAAGACAATGAAGCCTCTTTTTTTGGCTTTATAACATTATTTTTATAGCTAATATTTCAAGTAATTCCTTCCCAATTCTCAGAAAAATAATGCACAAAAGTGGTATTCTCATTACAATCATGTGAGAAAGTTATAAATCATGTATCTGAATAAAAAAGATCGAAATTCATGACAATTATTACACTGGAAAAGAAATTGACTTTGAAACAATTTTCGCTCAAATATTTCACAAGTAGTTACGAAGAAACAGCAAATAACACTAAATTAAATGTGAAATTTTGAAGTAGAAAGACAGAAATTGTATTTTCTAAAACACATGCCAATAATCTTTTTTGTTTACAACTTCAAAAAATATTGTTTTTTTTCTGTACAGTGGTGAGTATTTGGGGTCACATATTTTTAATTGTCATAATGAAAATATTATCACAATGTAAAAACTCTTTATTGGTCATAAAGTAGGCTCCATTTTCTTTATGCAAAATATAATTTCTTGATTTTTTATATTGATTTTGAGGTGAAATGTCACCTGAAAAATCACCAGGTCATGACATTAACCCACAAACTTGGCAGAAAATGTTGAATGAAAAAAAAAAACACTGCAAACGGACACATTAAACGTGACAGTTACAGAAATAACACCACATTTTGTACTTAAACATACACAGACCCGAAAACCGGAGTTAACTGAGGATGAAACTATCTTGGGGGAAAGAAATTATGATTGCGGGAAGGCAATCAGGCGCTATGAGCGTATGTCAATTCAATAAAGTTTTACATGAATCTATAGCCAAATCATAGTGTGGAGGCCTAATCCATGCATGAACACAAAATTTTACATAATCAAACACTTACTGTCATAGTTGCGAGGTTTGTCTCGCAGACTTTGGTGCATCTTTGTATACATATATGGAGGCAGTATGTAAATCATAGATGTACACATAATTGCAAAGGTTGGTGCGGTGTGTGTGTGTGTGTGTGTGTGTGTGAGCGAGAGAGAAAGAAAGAGAGCGGATATTGCTGTGAGGGAAGGTGGCTCAGAGCCAGGGTTCAGTAATCACATCATCTTCTTTTATTAAATCTCACTGCACTGCTTCTGCGTTATTAAAATCTCCCAGCATTCCCCACAACCCACTCCAGCCACCCCCCCTCCCTCCCCGACACACCAATATTCACAATGATGAAATACGAGAAAACCAACAGGTAGCTGATAAAAACGTACACATCAGACCACTCGCACGCAAAAGAGAAAGCACAGGTGAGCAGCTAAACCGTTCAGTACTGACACATATTATACTGCCCCAATCATGTCATAGATGCACACTTCAGTGCGCACTTGCTAAAAAAATGGCCTTTTTGTTCTTAGCATGCAAACGGTGCTACGCACAAAAATACTGAAATAACAATCGACTAGTGGCATGCATAATTTAATTGTCTAATTATGTTTTGATTGCACTGAGACACATCATAACTTTTGGGTTTATGCTAATAAAACAACTACTTGTGTCATTGTACACTATAAAACACTCTCCGCTGAATTCAGTTACGTTTATGGATTACTAGTCATATGAAGAACACTTCAACAGGGTTATTAGAAAGTGCACTGTATATCAAGGTGGCAATAAAGTTAAAATGACATTTCTTATGATGCCTTGCAGTGTATTAATGAGACTCAATATTTTGAGATGATCATGTAAAAATCATGGGTGAAAAATAACGGTAACGATTTGGTTCCATTTGTTAACATTAGTTAAAGGGATAGTTGACCTAAAAATGAAAATTACCCCATGATTTACTCACCCTCAAGCCATCCTAGGTGTAAATGACTTTCTTCTTTCAGATGAATACAATCAGAGTTATATTAAAAAATCTCCTGGCAAGGG